CAGACATGATCCACACCTACTGACTAAAGAAACTAACAGCAGTGCGTGAACACCTAGCAGCACAGATGAACCAGCTGCTAGCAGCAGAGTCCCACCCAGACTGGTTAACACAAGGAAGGACACCGCTGATCATGAAAGACCCCCCACAAGACAACAGCACCATCCAACTACTGGCCAATAACCTGCCTCCACACAACATGGAAAGTCCTATCAGGCATCACAGCCACCAAGCTACAGGACCATATGGGCCAGTATATGAGCACAGCTCAGAAGGGCATTGGGAACAATACCAGAGGCTCAAAACACCATTTGCTCATAGATAGAGCAGTCGCTCTGGATAGACCAATCTGAGCACAGCCTGGATTGACTACAGGAAAGCCTATGACTCAATGCCACACACATAAATTTGTGAATGTCTGGTGCTATACAAAGTCTGCAGGATACTAAGGACCTTCCTCAAGAACTCAATGGGACTGTGAAGGAAACACTGAAAGTCAACTGAAAACAGCTCACAGAAATGGCCATCAAGTGTGGCATATACCAAAGTGATGCACTGTCCCCGCTGCTGTTCTGCATAGGGTTGTACTCCCTCAGCCAGATAATCACAAGGACTGAATATGGATACAAGTTCAAGAGTTCAACTACCATCAGCCACCTCCTCTACATGGATGACATCAAGATGTATGCTAAGGGTGAATGAGACATCAACTCGCTGATCTACCCTGGATCAACAGTGAGGACATTGGGATGTCATTTGGACTGGAGAAGCGTGGCCGGATGGTAATAAAGAGAGGGAAGGTAGTTAAGACCGATGGGGTGGAACTACCAGTGGACCACATAGCAGACATACAGACCAGCTACAAGTACCTTGGTATCCCATAGTCACATGGGAACCACAATGAGGAGGCAAGGAAGATAGCAACATCCAAATATCACCAAAGAATAAGACAGGTCCTGAAGAGCCAGCTCAATGGGAAGAATGAGATGCACACCATCAACAGGTATGCCCTGCCAGTCATCAGATACCCTGCCGGTATAGTAATCTGACCAAAGGAGGACATAGAGGCTGCCAATGTGAAGGCTTGGAAGCTCCTCACAATGTGCAGAGGTTTCCACCCCAGGTCCAACACCCAGAGTCTGTACATCAGTCAGAAAGGAGTAGGCAGGGTCTGGTAAGTGTCAAAGCCACTGTCCTGGACAAAACCGAGAGCATCAGTACATCAGTAAGATGGCACCCAAAGATGAGCTGCTGAGAGAATGCCTGACATGAGAGGAAGTTCAAGCAGAGGAAGTGCTATGACAAGACAAGACCCTGCATGGGATGTACCATCAACACATAGCTGAGGTGGTTGACATTGGGAAATCCTACCAGTGGCTACAGCACTGAGACACTGATCATAGCAGCACAAGAACAGGCACTGAGCACCAGGATCCATAGAAGCAGAGGTCTACCACACTAGACAGGACCCAAGGTGCAGACGTGCAGAGAGGCCTCAGACAGTCCAACACATAGTGGCAGGGGGG